CTGGATGGCCGTCGGCTGGGATTCACGGCTCTCACTTTCGGTGCATTTCGTCGATTCGCCAGGTCATCCAATACCGCAGCGGATATATGTCTGTGCTAGAGATAACACGGCCGCATACCATCGCACTCCACACGCCTCGTCACGATTTGCTCGAATGGTGGAGCGCTAGCGTGTGTCGAACTGATACCCAAGTCGTCCAATGAGGCACTGATATATTGTCCGTGCTGGAGATGGCATGGTCACTTCCGGTGGCCATCAGTTACCCGACGCTTTCACCCATTGTTTAGATGGGTTCGAATCCACCGGCCTGTAGCTGCAATCGCAGTGCGAGTTTGGCTCAGTAGTTTGCGGAGATACTGGTTGACAGATGTTGATCTCTCAGATTCGGGCTCACCTGGCAGCCGCGGAATGCGCCCTGTGTTCGCCTCATGGGGACTGAAGCTGTAATTTATGTGAGGCCTGTTGGGCAAGGACTAACACCCACTTGCTGCTACCTGCACAACCTGAGGCTGCTTCACAGACTGAAGGTGTTGTTGACATCTGCCCTGCACACACGTAATAAGCTTCTCCACAAGGAGAGCCAATGATGTATTTGGAGCCTTCTACGTGACGGCTCAGCATTTTGGCGGTCGTGGTCTAGAGGCTATGATGCCTGCTTCACACGCAGAAGACCCGAGTTCGATTCTCAGCCACCTTGATTGCACTCTAATGGCCCTATAGACCACCACCACACATGGTGGATCGGTTGATGTACTTGGGAGTTCTTGGCGGGAGTGAGACTCGAACCACGATATGCTAGGTGGTCATATGCTGGGTGGTCGCCGCACCATTGTCAGAGCTCTCCCCATTAGACTGTGGAGGCACCTCATGGGTGGCCAGCAGCCGCACAACAGGTGCCGTAAACGGGACGTAGGACCAATCGCACGCACCCTTGGCGTGTGGAGCTGTTGTTGCAGCCGATCATCCAGTAGTCGAGCCGCGAACGAGTGGCCGCGTTTGATAGAAGAAGAGCCAAGAACGAAGAGCGAGTGAATGCATGATGACGAGGCTCCGAGATAGTACATAATGACGAGTAGAAGGAAAAGAGCTCGTTTGTGAGCCAGCACGGAGTGTCAACTGCAACCAACGACACGCCGGAACCTGTGACCGCACTGAGGGTAACCATCAGCAAGGGAGTTGCTGGGAGTGGAAGTCGAACTGCCACAAAAAACACCACCAAACGAACTAGCTGGTCAGACGAAGCGCAATGGTTTGTGGGTATTAGAAGGTCGCACAACAAATCAACCCCTAATTGGGCGATTCAGAGGCTCCAGTGCTACCCATTGCACCACGCCGCCGTTCAGGAAGGAATCCTTGAAGATTTTTTCATTACCAAGGGTTTCCCCCCCCAGATCCCGAACCGGGTCGAAATAAATTGGTCGCGCTGGTTTCGCAAGCCTCAAAAGAGAGTATGTGTGTGGGGTGTGAAGTGGAGCGGCAATCTGGTCCGTCAGCGATTAGGTGCCGAGGGGTGTCACAA